CCCCCCCCACACACACACACAACACAGAGACCAAACCAACGCAAATTGGGTCCTATAGAGAATGCATTCAGAACCATGACCATATAATCACAAGAGGTTAATGCAGCTTTCCTCAAAGCCTGTCTCCTGGCTCTCTTGTATCCGTGGTCCTGAGCAATCAATAAATGTTCAGGTACCTTTGTTACTCTCCACCCCCACCTTGCAGAGTGGACCCTGGGAATCCTCCATTTTCATGTATTGTCCAAGGTTTCTACACACACACACACACACACACACACACACACACACACTTCACCATGAGAATTAACTCATTTAATTAAAAGTAAACTTATTACCAGGCACCGGTTGCTCACGCCTGTAATCCTAGCTACTCAAGAGGCTGAGAGCTAAGAATCACAGTTCAAAGCCAGCCCAGCTAAGAAAGCCCAAACTCTTTTTTTTTTTTTTTTGGTTTTACCATCTTTTATTATATTGCCAACAATCCAGTACTACGGAGCACAATTCAAAGTAAAATGTCATTTTCCTTGGTAGTATTTACTATTACAGAAGAGTGTTGCCATAAGTAAGCAGAAATAAGAAGGCCACTCTTCCGGGTGGGTCTCAGTGGCCTCACAGGAAGTTTTGGTTTCAATGTACGTTTTTGTCCATTTACCTTTATAATTACATCATCCCACAAAGCTCTCAGTATTACATACCTTCCAACTGAGAGGAAATAACATAAGGAATTATATTTTACCTTCACGTGCCACTTATTTCATAATCACTTCTATGTCATTAGTTTTCAGAAAAAAGTACTACCATATAAACGTATAGACTGGAACATACATTTAGAAAACATCCCCAAAATGTGGAAATTGCAACATGTCTACCCTGTATGAGAACAGTTAACCCCCATCCCCCAAAAGTATTAAAAACAAAAAAGAATAGCTAGCCGTTACATTTTTTATAGCGTTTCACAGAAAATGCTAGAATAATAATCACTGGCATTGAGTAGGTGAAACTGTTGAGTTTCACTTTTGACTCTATCATCCCTTCTTATTACGTTCTTGGTAATATTAGTTTTATATCCATTTGGCATAAGCATTTATATTAAACATTGAAATCACAAGCCATAGTATGTATCAGGAACTCTAAAAGCATCTTGTTTTTTTTTCCCCAAAAGTGAGCCATGTTAGTAATTACTGAGACAAATGCAGATTCTGGGGACCGGCAGGTACCTTGCAGTGAATATATAAAGGCCAAAACATCTGGCCAGGTGACTCAAGAGTAAACCACTCTCAATTTTTCTTTGTTTTCTTCAGATAGCGTGCTCGTACGGCCTTGTTGAAACCCATCGTTATTTTAAAATACATCCAACGAGGCAGGATTGAGTTTACTGAGCCCATAAGAGTGTGGATCAGGTACCCAGTGGTTCTGGACTGCAAGCCTACTGTTTTAATTGCAGATTTCACAAATGTGTCTGGAGAAGGCTTATCAAAGGTTGGCTTTCGGATTTTAGCCAGTTTAGTAGCTATGAAGTATGGCAGGACACTCTGCACAAAGATGCCCTTGCTCTTATACTCCTCATGGAGGCACTGAGAGAAGAAATCTACAAAAGCCTTGGTTGCAGAGTAGATGGTCAACAGGGGAACTGGGAGCATGCCACTGGCAGAGGAGATATTCAGAATCACCCCTTTAGATCTTTCTACCATGCCAGGCAGCACCAATCGGGTCACCTTACAAACAGAAAGAATATGTGTATTTATCAGTTTCTTGATAGTATTGTCCAAGTCAGGAACATCCAAAAAGTACTCAGGATACTCATATGACATTCCCACGTTATTCACTAGAACACCAACTTCCAGACCTGTCAGGCCTGTTTTAATTTTATCATAAATATCTTCTGAACTGAAATCAACAGCAATGGTCCTTGTCTCCACTTTGAATTTTTCTTTTATATCACTGGAAACTTGGTTCAGTTTATCCTGTGATCTGCTGATTAAGACAATCTTCATTCCACGCTTTGCTAACTCTTCGGCATATGATTTTCCAATTCCATCAGTACTGCCTGTGACAACTGCCCAGGCACCGAGCCACGGGCCGACCCCGGCCTCATGACCCACACCCCAGACCCGGAAGGCGGTGAAGAGCGAGCACAAGACGCGCAGGACCACGTAGGCCACCGTGCTCGCGCCCACCCAGTACAGGAAGCCGGCGGCGGGCACAGGCTCTCCATGGCTTCTAACTAGACCTCGCTACCTCCGTGAATGAATCCAAACTCTTATCTCCAAACAACCATCCAAAAGCCAGAAGCAGAGATGTAACAAAAACCAAAAAAAAAAAAAAAGCTAAGGGTCAGGGCCCAGACCCTGAGTTCAAGACCCAATAGTGGTATAAAACAACAACAACAAAAAATGTAAGCCACTCAAGCTATGGGTCCAGTCATTTCTCCATGATTAGGGGCTGTGGGGACAGGGAAGATGTTATGATCTCTAAGTCTTCCCTTCAACTGGAGTCCAGGCAGGGCAGGAGGCCCCCTTGTGGAGAGGCTTTGGTACTACAGGCTCTACCAGCCACTACTCAGTTACATAGTCACTGTCTACATTTTTTATTCCATCGTCTGGAAAATGGAAGCAATACCACTTCACTGATGATTCAATGAAAGCAACAAGATGAGGACTTTATAACAGATCTGGAAGGCCGCAACTTCCGTGTGGATGATGATGATGATGACAATTAATTATCCTATGAGTCTCCCCCTACACCATCCCCACCACCATTTTGTTATTATCAAGACCTCAGAAGGCCATTGAGAAGTTACCAAAGATATCCCAGCACTGGTGGCTCACGCCTCCTGGCTACTCAGGAGGTTAAGAGCTGAGGATCGTGGTTCAAGACCAGTTCAGGCAGGAAAGTATGTGAGAGACTTTTATCTCCACTGAGCTACAAGAAAAGCCAGAAGTAGCATTGTGGCTCAAAGTCATAGAGTACTAGTCTTGAGTATGAAAGCTCGGGGAAAGCCCTCAGGCCCTGAGTTCAAGCACCAGGAAAGATTACAGAATAACAGGCTATCTGGTATTTTCCCCCCACTCTCCAGATGAGTTTTTCTTCAGCAGAATCATCATCTGAGGATGACATAAGGCAGACTGGCTCGATGCCTTATATAAGTGAAGAGACCATTATTCCCAAGAGAACGAGAGGCACAACTCCCACACTCCCATCCTCCCTTGCTCACCCAGGGCTGCAGAAAACCTAGGCTTGTCAGAAAACATGCCCTTGATCCATCTCCAGAATCTCTCCAACAACCTAAAGTTAATTGGGTGCCATGGGGAGAGTGGGCAGTAGGAGAGAGAAGAGAAGAGGTGAAGGTTCCACGTAATGCCATCACCAGAATTCAATTCTGTTTCTTCAACTTGAAACCTAATAAAGGTAGGAATCTCTTGAGAAATAAGGTGTGTGTGTGTGTGTGTGTGTGTGTGTGTGTGTGTGTGTGTGCAAATGGCAGAAGGGAAGGGTAAGTCTCAGAGAAGCAATGCCATTTTTCTTCAGAATTGCTGATTGTGATATAATAAACTAAAGATCAACTCTGTTGCTACGCATCTCTCTTTTGATGGCTGACTTCTTTGTTTCATTCCTTTTGGATGTGACTCACTCAATCTCATGTTTACATATTCTGAGTTGGGAAACCCAGAGTAAAGGCAAGAGATAGAAATACAGAAGTGTTTTCCAAACAGGTCCTCAGTCACTAAGAGCTTGTGTGACCATTGGAACTTCACACTGTACATTGTAAGAGCTTCACATGTGTTCCTGCAAAATTTTGCAATATGCCTGAGTTGCTCAGAGTCTAGAATACAGGATTAGAAATTATATCATTAGAGTCTATAGAATTTGTCTATAGCCTGTAGTCTGGGGAAGATTAATTTGAACTTGATATATACTTAATCATCATATCTTCTTGATATCTTCTTAGTCAAATCATAATTTAAAAGGGAAGCAACAAGCTGATTTACTGCTAGGTGCTGGTGGCGCATGACTATAATCCTAGCTACTCAAGAGGCTGAGATCTCAGTCTAAAGCAAGCTGGGGCAGAAAAGATGTCTTATTATCTTTTATTAACTGCCAAAAGGGCTGGGAATGTGGTTTAGTGGTAAAGTGCTCACCTAGCATGCATGAAGCCTTGCATTCAATTCCTCAGTACCAAATACACAGAAAAAGCCAGAAGTACATAGCTAGCAAGATAAATAGAAAGCCCATGGATTGGGAGAAGATCTTCACTAGTCATACAATGGACAAGGGTCTCATATCTAAAATATACTTGGAACTCGAAAATTAAATCCTCCAACAACAAATCCTCAAAGAAACAACTGCCCAATAAATAAGTGGGCTAAAGACTTAAAGAGAAATTTATTTGAAGAGGAAATAAGAATGGCCAATAGACACATGAAGAAATGCTCAACCTTTCTAGCCATAAAAGAAATGCAAATCAAAACAACATTGACATTTTACCTCACCCCAGTTAGAATGGCTAGAATCAAGAACTCTAATAACAACAGATGCTGGAGGGGATGTGGCCAGAAGGGAACCTTACTGCATTGTTGGTGGGAGTGTAAACTTGTTCAACCACTTTGGAAAGCAGTATGGACAATCTTCAAAATACTGCACATAGAGCTCCCCTATGATCCAGCAATCCCACTTTTGGGCATTTACCCAAATGATCACAAACAAGGCCATACTAAGGCTACCAGCACAACCATGTTTATCGCAGCATTATTTACCATAGCTCAGATATGGAACCAACCCAGATGCCCCTCAGTAGATGAATGGATCAAGAAAATGTGATATATATATATATATATAAGATATATATATAATATATATATATATATATATATAGTGTATGTGTGTATACACAATAGAATTCTATGCCTCCATCAGAAAGAATGGCATTGCCCCATTTGTTAGGAAATGGAAAGACTTGGAAAAAATTATATTAAGTGTAGCAAGCCAGGCCCAAAGAAACATAGGTCCCATGGTTTCCCTTATGTGCAATAACTAGTACATGTGTAGGACAAGCAGAAAAGGCCAAAAGCTATGTACATGTGACCATATAAGATGATGTTAAGCGAAATGAACCCCAAGATAGGAACACAAATATCTTTTTTCTTTTTTGCTATTGTTTCTAACATATTTATAATGTACCATGTGATTTTTTTGTTTCCCCCATGGTATAACCCCTGTTTTTACTGCATTTGATGTCAGTGCCCTGCATCTTATATATACACTTTTCTAATTCGGGGAGGGGAAGGGAAAAAACAAAATGCTTAAATAAGGATACAGTTTGACCCACTGTAACAATGAGATGTACAAAACACTATGTTGAAAATGAGCTTTACAACTTTGGTGGGGGTGGGGGACACAGTAGTTGTGGAGGTGGAAGGGAAGGGATGGTAGGTGAAAAATAAAGGAGGCGGCAACAATGCTCAATAGGAAATGTACTCATTACCTTGCTCATGTAACTGTAACCCCTCCGTACAGCATTTTTACAATAAAAAACATACCAAAAAAAAAAAGCCAGAAGTGGCACTGTGGCTTGAGTGCTAGCCTTGAGCAAAAGAAGCTTGGGGACAGGGCCCAGATCCTGAGTTCAAGGCCCCTTCTGCCCCCCTGGATAAAAAGGCTAATTAACTACCAGAAGATTAGAAGTGGAACTGTGAGCTCAAGTGGTAGACCACCAGCCTTGAGCAAAAAAAAAACGAGCTCAGAGACACTGCCAAGGCCCTGAGTTCAAGCCACAAGAGCAGCACACATTTAAAAAAATCTTTCTTCTCAATAGCAGCGTTATGCTGGTGCATTAGAAAGAAACCATAAATCACGAGACCCAAAGAGCACTAGATTCTTATCTTTGGAGAGCTCTCATAAAGAGAGGTAATGTAGCTACAAAATAAAATCCTGAGTTTAAACCTACCTTGACTTAGACTGACTGAGTTCAATCCCCTTCACTTTCATTTCATAGTTTCAAAACGGTTTTATTCAGCATATACATGAGAAGATTTTACCATGAATGTGGGGTTTTTAAAAAAGCAATAAGGCTGTAATCCTAGCTATTCAGGAGGAACGAAAAAAAATTAAGATTATGTTGTGGAGATTACACATGATTCTTCCACTTGGGAAACCACCCACCTTCTCCTTTCCATATGTTCTCGTCCATCTCATGTGGTTCCTCTGGGCCTCATTGAGAAAAACTAGTCTCCCCATTCACAGGTGAGCTCCTATTAGCTATTAGTTCCTATTAGCCTGGCCAATCAGATTACCCCAGCCTGGCCAATCAGAATGTTTAATTCCCTCTGAATACAGTAATTGGGTCAGGGATGGGCAAATGCCCAAGTTCATGAACAGTTCTTCCTCATCGAATACATTTACCAGATTATAAGAGGGGGAAATGCTGTTTTCTTCTAGATTCATCAACCATATTAATCCTGAAAGTCTAGGACTCTAGGATGGTCCAGACCCATTCATCCTAAGTATTTGAGATTATTTCCCATCTGTTATTTTAAGACCTTTAGGAAGAAGGAAGCACATTGTGGCGATGGTACAAGATCTCATGGCTGCTCTTTCTATCCTCTCTCAGTAAAAGATCATCATGGCTTTGGAGACACATGGAGACTTGGGTCTCCACCCTGCCATTTGATGGCTGTGTGACTTTGTGTGACATAACCTCTGCTTCCCATTTCATAAAGCACCTTTCTAGTCTATGGTACACCGTGGGCATGAAAGAGATGATACTGAGCCGGGTGTCGGCGGCTCACGCCTGTAATCCTAGCTACTCAGGAGGCTGAGATCTGAGGATCGCGGTCCAAAGCCAGCCCCAGCAGGAAAGTCTGTGAGACTGTATCTCCAATAAACCACTAGAAAACTGGAATGGAGCTGTGGCTCAAGTGGTAGAGCGCTCACCTTGAGCTAAAGAGCACAGGGACAGCACCCAAGCCCAGAGTTCAAGCTCCATGACCGACAAAAAAAAAGAGAGAGAGAGATGATAACTGCTGATACCATTATTACCACTAATTACTGTGAATAGTTTCGTATGTCTCCATTCATTCAGGCTGTTATGAGAGAAAATTCATAGACTAGACAGTGCCCCAACCAAACTCTCCATCTTATAGATAGAGAAGCAGACCCCCTCAAAGGAAAAAGACTTGTCAGGGTCACAAATTGGCCTTGAGAATATTGAGAGCAAAAAATCACTTTGCAACTTCTCAGACTAGCTGTTTCTCAGTTTGGGGGGGGGGGAATTCTCCCGACAGGATCAAACCTCACTCTCAAATCGCTTTTCTGTTAAGCAGCGTGAGGAACAGGAAGGATCCGTGGGATTTTCTTGTTTGGGTAATGATCTTGCTTCCTTTGGCGAGGATCTGTTCTAGGCAGATGCATCGTGTAACCCTCCTGGACTTCACACTCCAAGACCTGCCTGCCTAGAGAGCGCCAAAGACTTGAAACAGAATTCCTACTACAGGATTAGCATCTCTGCCCAGGGGCTAGTCATGCCCTGATTTAACTTATAACTTCTTTCTGCTGAGGAAAACCCTGCTAGTTTGCTCAACCCGTCAATGCTGACTCTACTTATTTCCACCGTTCAGACTCTCTTTTTTCTTCTTCTTATGGGTCTTTAAGTAGTTGTGCAAAGGGTTTCAGTTCAACATGGTCAATGGGGGAGCACAGGGCACCTCGATCCACATCACCTCTTCCTTTCATTCTCCCCAGTCTCTCTTGACCCCACCAATCCCTTAATTTTCCTAGCTCCATTTCCATGTGTATACATTGAATATATGATACTGCATTCATCTACCCCCACCTCTCTCCATTCATCTGTCCCCTCCCCTGGGTCTTTCTTCTCTCCTCCCCCTCCCCCCACAACACACCTCAAATTCCAGCTTCCTGGTGTTGTTTGTTAGGCTGTAAGTTGTTCAGAGGACTTAACACCACTGGACTTCTCCCCCCCATGTACCACACCGTAGTCAGTATGTGTGTGTGTATATGTGTATGGCCCTGTATATGTTTACACATATTTATAAGTTAGATCTATCCTCCACATGTGAGAGGAAATGCACAATCTTTGTCTCTCTGGACCTGACTTATGTCACTTGACATCATTTTTTTTTTCCAGGTCCTTCCATTTCTCTGGAAATGATGCACTATTGTTCCCTCTGGACGGACGGATAAGTAAAATAGCACAATTCATTACCATGCGATATCTATTACTTTCCTAGCCTCCCAATGAGTCATGTAATCAAAAACAGATCTTGGAATGTGGGATGGGGTACCCTCGGTTCCCCCAATTAGTCCCACTGCACACCGAAAGCTGTATAACCATGGTTTTAAATGCATTTTCTCAAACTTTTAAGATTCACTTTCCTTGCTGAAAAATCACAGAAAATGGCACACACACAGACACACACACACACATACACACACAGACACACACACACACACAGACACACACACACACAGACAGACACACACACACAGACACACACACAGACACACACACACAGACACACACACACAGACACACACACACAGACACACACAGACAGACACACACACACACAGACACACACACAGACAACACACACACACACACACACACACACACACACCTTCGCCAGACTCTGATAGCCTTCTGGCTCTTGGTAATTCTGTCACCAGCTGGATTATAGTCCACTAATGGGTGGCGGGTTCCAAAGAGACAGAAGGCTGTTTTCCATCCATTTGTTATTTTAATGACAACGAATTACCCCAGAAGCCTTGTTAAAACCTCATTTAATCTGGGGATGGGGGCAGTGGGGGGGGGGAAGAAGCACAGAAAGACAATTAAGAAGGAATGTGGTAATATCAGCATCTATCAAACGCAAAAATAATGGAGTGGAAGGAAGCCGGCCAAGGCCAGGTTCAGCTGGCCCCAGCCAAGCCCAGCTATCTATGAAGCTACTCAGCATTAGCTACCTGTTTGCTTAACTCTCACTTGAGACAGAAAACCTGGCAGACTTATTCTCAAACTGTAGTGTACACGTGATTAGAAAAACTTGAACTCTGACTGCACAGTCAAGACCTAAGGAAGAAATGAAGGAACAGCACTCCTGTCCGGCCAGATTTTTGAGATCATTTCACAATCTCTTCACCTAACAGATGTGCAGATCATAAACTCAGAGTGGAGCAGGGAAGCAGGGCTTTTTTTTTTTTTTTAACAGATGAGCCTTTGTATGTGGCCTTGATGTCATCTGAAACATCATTTGCCAATGCTCCATGATTCTAGTCTTGACTCTGGCGTTGACAGGCAGTGGTTCAGTTCTCTCATCTCCAAAGCAGGGCTGACCAGTATTGTCCATCTCAGGATATTGTTGGAAGGTTTATATGTGATAGAGACAAAGAAAGAAAGCGCTAAACATCACCCTTCATATTTAAGGTATGGAACTGTACTACTATGCTCCTTGGGGAGAGAGGTCTAGGCAGAGACTTCTGTCTTCGAATCCTGTTGCTGACACTGAGGAAAGTCAATGTATTCATCTAGTCCTCACTCTCGTCATCTTTAAATGAAGACCTGAGATCAAGCGATGTCTTTAGCCCTAACCACCTACTAACCCATACAACCCTAGACTCCAGACCACTGACCAGCTCCATAGAATATTTTCCTGTAGAGGTAAAATGCTCCCTATGATCCTCAGTGCTTGGGAGATTAGAGGATGCTGCTCAAAATCTCATCTCTTCATCCCTGAGTCTTTTTTTTTTTTTGGTCAGTCATGGGGCCTGAACTCTGGGCCTGGGCACTGTCCCTCAGCTCTTCAGCTCAAGGCTAGTGCCCTACCACTTGAGCCACACTACCACTTCAGGCTTTTTTCTGCTTATGAGGTGCTGATGAATTGAACCCAGGGTGTCATGCATGCAAGGCAAGCGCTCTACCACCTGCCCAGCCCCCTGAGTCAATTTTTTTTAAGAATTATTCTGAAACCCCCAAACAGTTGCCCAGGGTGTGAGAAAGCTGCCCTAGGCTGGCTTCAAACAGCGATCCTCAGAATCCCAGCCTCCTGAGTAGCTAGGATTACAGGCCTGAGCCACCAGCGCCAGACTCACTGCTTATTTTCAAGACTGGATCTCAATGTGTATACCCAGGTCCGCCTGCACTGTGATCTTCCTACTTGTGCTTCCCTGGGTTGCTGTGGTGCACCCCTCCCCTGTGGCTGGGATCAGCAGGGAGAATCACGATGCTCAGCCACTTCTTGGGATGGAGTCTCACTCACTTTTTATGCACAGGCTGTCCTCAAACCACCATCTACCAATCTTCTTCCTCCAAGCAGCTGGGATGCTAGGCTTGAGCCACCACACCGAGCTAGAAGAGTGCTTTTACTTTTAAAGTCCTTCATTTTCAGTAAATGAATGTCACCAAAAGAAAGTCACTCTCTTGAGCATGAAATTCAGAGAAGCAATGTCTACAAGACAGTGTCTATAGCCCTAAGTTTTCTAAGTTTGTTGTTGTTGTATTGCTATTTTTGCTTTGAGCCAAGGTCTTCCTTATGTAGCCCAGGATGCCCTTGAGCTCTTGATTCTATTCCCCAATTCCCAGAGTGCTGGGATTACTGGCATATCCTACCATGCCTGGCTTTGATTTTTTAATTTGTAAGAGGATGTCTTGGATACCTGGTATTGTTATGAGAGCTTCATTTAGATTGGACCATTGTATCTTTGCAATAATCCTTAGTTAGAGACTTTATTTCATTATGGATATTTTACAGATAAGAATACTGAGGCAGAGTCCTACCAAGATCAAGCTGGTAATTTTCCTGGCCAATTCCACTAAGGTTTACACATATTTATCTTGTGTAGTTTTAACATAGATTTTTTTCCGTGTGTGTGTGTGTGTGTGTGTGTGTTTGTATGTTGGTCCTGGGGTTTGAACTCAGGTACTGTCCCTGAGCTTTTCTGCTCCAGGCAAGTATTCTACCACTTGAGCCACAGCTCCACTTCTGACTTTTTGGTAGTTAACTGGAGATAAGAGTCCCATGGACTTTCTTGCCTAGAGTTGGCTTCAAACTGTGATCCTCAGATCTCAGCCTCCTGAGTAGAACTTTTCCCTTTTTTACTCCCTGACAGGCATTAACTGAGCTCCTTCACAGCCATGTAAGACACACATGAAATCATTAAGAACTATTGAAAATGCTCCACAGAATACTGATTCTTTCTATGCTTCTTCCCAACACAACCATTACTGACAATTTAGACTTATGCATGTTAAAATCACGTGACCTGCCATGTGCTACTGAGTACGTCTTTCACTGCTTGATTTCATGTCCTCAGATGGAAGAACACACTTAGGAGCTGAGCATTCACTCTTCTCATTAACAACGACACCATAGAGACGCAGACTCCCTTCCCTCCCTTCTAAAATGTCTCTTATTCTTCCGTGTGTGTGTGTGTGTGTGCGCGCGCGCGCGTGCATGTGTGCATGTGTGTGTGTGTGTGTGTGTGTGTGTGTTGGTACTAGAGCTTGAACTCCGGGCTTGGGCACTGTCCCTAAGCTTCTTTTGCTTAAGGCTGGCACTCTACCACTCGAGCCCCAGCTCTTCTTCTAGTTTTTCAGCAGTTTATTGTAGATAAGGGTCTCACAAACTTTTCTGCCTGAGCTGACTTAGAACCAAGATCCTCAGATCTCAACTCCCTGAATAGCTAGGATTATAAATGTGAGCCTGTCTCTAAATGTCTCTTTCAAAATTAAATGTCTTTTAAATTGGAGGGCTTTGCCAGATTCCCTTCAATGGATGAATGGATCAAGAAAACATAAGACATTTCCATCTCTATCTCTATGTCTTACAGAGATAGAGATAGAGATATGAATTTTGCTCATCCATTAGGAAAAATGATATTACAAGTTATTTGCAGAAAAATGATGGACCTGAAAAAAATTATGCTAAGTAAAGAAAGTCAGGCCCAGTGAACTAAAGGACACGTTTTCTTTCATAGGCAGAAATTCATCTAATTATAAGATACATACATAAACATATTCAGGGTCATACGCATATAAACACAGATGTATTCACTAAGGCATGGTATAAGCAGCGAGTCATCCAATGGTAGAACTCCTTTGAACATCCAAGTTACAGTCTAACAAAACATGAATACCAGGAAGCTAGAGCCTGAGGAGATAGATGGGAGTGACGTGGGTGGAAAAAGGAAGAGGAAGGGCGGGAGCGTGAAGTCATGATAGTCAATGTAGATGTGTGAACACGGAACTAGGAAGATGGGAGGGAGGGGTGGGGTGGGGAGAGATGGAGAGGCTGATAGAAGGGGGAGACATTTATCTACATGGATTGTTCTCATAAACTGACCTGTTGAATTCAAACGGCCCCCCTTATACAACTACTTACAGATAGTACCAATATCCATAATAATAATGATAAATACATAAATTGGAGGGCTTTGGTTCTGCATATTCACTAAGAAGGAATTGGCTTCCAATGATGGAGGCTGGGATGTTCCATGATCAGCTACTTCTATGAACTGAGGACATAGAAAAGGTGATGGTTGTTGTATTTCCAGAGGAGTCTGAAGAACTGAGAGTTAGGATCAAAAGGAGCCAAGTCTTCATTGGAGGACAAAAGAAGACCAATGTCTCAAATCTACACCTAGACAGAGGGAGAAAAATTCCCCTTTCTTCTTTCTTCCTCTCTCTCTCTCTTTCTCTCTCTTTGTTCTATTGGGATCTCAGTAAACTGAATGAGGCTCATCTACCCTGGAGTCCACTGACTCAAATACTACCTCAACCCCTGCGCATACTCATAGATTAACCAAATATCTGGGCACCCCATGATCCAGTTAACACACAAAATTTAGCCATGGTTCTTTCTCTTAAGTTAAATGCATTGTTTAGAAGTCAAATTGTGGTTTAAAAAAATAAGAAGAAAAATTGTTGTTTTTTTCTCTGATCCTTCAGGAAATGTGTTCTTTACATCTTTACAACTGTTGAAGGCCAAGAGTCACATGACCCTAACTTGTGCTCCCCTAGAATCCTAGATTGGTTCTTAGGTCACAGGGAGCCAGGAAAACTCACCTGGGGATGAAAATGAGAAGCCACTGCATGCTTGAAAGAAAGTGTGTGGTCACTCGTGTCCCCTAAAATATAACTTCTAGGTCAAAGGACTTCCTGATCAGAGGACCTACTCTGTGCGGAATCAGCACTTCATAGCTCAAATCATCGCAGTGGAATGAACGCTCCCTTCCCAGGAGTCTTCGCAACAGAATCCTCAGCTCAGCCCAAATTAAAAGCAACTGTGGCCAACATCTTCATTTTTCCCCCTTGCTAAATTACTATGGAGATGAATTTTATCAACTTAATCCATCAGGCTTAAACTAATTCTTCATTAAAGCATAGCTTTCTCCCATAGGAAAACATCTAAATCCAGAAGATAGAACCATGAACACCTCCCAGTTTGTTTTAATTATTTTTCTTAAATGAGAAGCTGAGTACATTTTGCCAAGGATTAAATCACCTAAGGTCTCAGAAATTCAGTATTTGCAAACTAAATCTATGTTCTCATGGTGGAAATCTTTTTCATCTTGGGGGGAAGAGGGATCATGGCATGCTTATACAGAAAAAAGCAGGGAAATGCCTCAGGAAAATAGCAGAGGGCTCAGGCAAGTCCAGAGCTCCTGACATTTCTGCCAAACTCATACTAATATCCTAAAAGGCTACAGAGTAAATTTCTCTTTAATGTCTCATAACTTCCATGTGAAAAAAGAAATTGAGTTAAAGCACTCAAGAGAATGAGAAGTCAAGCCACATCGAAGAAGCACCAAGGCAGATTGGAGATATTATCTGCAAAAGACATATCTTAGAAAGGGCTAGTATCCAAAATATATAAAGAACTCTGAAGATTTAACAATAAGAAAGCAAAATAATCCAATTGTAAAATGAGCCAGCCCAAGTTCTATTTAAGCAAAGAAGATACAAAATGGCAAACAGGCATAGGAAAAGATGTTCAGTGGCACACCATTATTAGGAAAATGCAAATTAAAGTAATACAGAGTTGGATGCCAGTGGCTTATACCTGTGATCCTAGCTACTCAGGAGGCTGAGATCTGAGGATGGCAGTTCAAAGCCAGCCCAGACAGGAAAGTCTGTGAGACTCTCATCTCCAATTAACCACCAGAAAATGGGAAGTGGCGCTGTGGCTCAAGTGGTAGAGCACTTGCCTTGAGCAAAAGAGCTCAGGGACAGCGTCTAGGCCCTGAGTTCATGCCCCAGGACCAACAAATAAAAATTAAAATTAAAATAATACAGAGATACCACCGACACTTATTAGAATGATTCAAGTCCAGAACATTGATGACAACAAATGAGGGGGGATGATATGGACCAATAGGAGTTCTCACTTGGTGATGGCAGAAAGACAAGCTGATACAGCCACTCTGGAAGGCAGTCTGGCAGTTTCCCACAAAACCAAACATACTCTGAGCATAACCATCTGGTTCTCACACCACCTCAGTTTTGACCCAAAGAAGTTGAAAACATGTCCACAAAAAATTGCACAAGGAC